TAATTTTTTCTAAATATAACTTCTCTATGTAAATACTCATGTAGCAGCTAACCAAAATCATCATGAGAAAAAAACTACACTTTGCTCGAGGGAGAGAAAATCTAGCAATTTCCACGCCATTAAAAAATTAGGTTGTTTCAGACTGGACAGCAGCGAAATAGTAAATAACATTGTTTCATTTTCCTGGGAATGACTTCTAAAGTAATATCACGGCAAGGATGAATGCATAGGGATGAGAAGGAAAGGAATTGGGAAAAAGCTGGCAACCAACAACTACTAATTGTGAGACTTTTAGAAAATTTAAATGGAACCCCAAGTTTAATAATGTTTTCTAAATATAACTTCTCTATATAAATAATCATGTAGCAGCTAACCAAAAAAAGACATTAATTTTTTAGCAAGTCTAGCCGCGCAAATGCGCGGGTTACATTGCTAGTTGTTTAAATAGCGATGGGACACGAGGAGCCAACCGGCGTTCTGTTTAATGCCAGCCGGCTGACGAACGAACATGTGGCTGCAGTAATTATCCTGGCACACGCGCGGGTTTAATGGTGGAAGGCGGGCAGTCTGGAGGAATGAGGCAGGATGTGTGTTTAGCCGGCGTGCAGCGGGGCGGTACCCTTGGCGTGCGTGGGGCGGTACTGGAGGCATGAATGTGGGCAGCCGGCGCAGAGCGGGAACACGTGTGTGCGAGAGAGGAGGGGGTTTGGGTGGGCACGAGTGGTCGGAAGCAGTCGTGGGTGTTGTCTGGACGCGTGCAAAGCCCCCCTCCCCCATGTGTTGTCTCCGGTTTGCGGGAGAAAGTACGTCTGGACTGCCCTGTGGACCGATACAAGCCCGCATTAGATGGCACAACACGTCCAGACCATGTGGTCCGGATGGTTGTGGACGGTTTAATTGAGGGTCGGCGTTGGAGATGCCTTAGAGTTTATGAATCCATTGTGTTTTCCTAATCATAAAAAATCACTTATAATAAGTTATATGGAAAGACACGTATATAAGTTAGGTTCAGACTCCAGCTTTCCTCTTATATATGTTTTCTTTTCTGATCCGACTGATTCCAATAGAGTGAGCCTAGCGTTGTTTTTCTGGAAACTCGATACACGTTCTTTCAAGCAAATCACATCCATTCTTTTTAACTAATTTTTTTCTTGTTTTAATAATATAATAAATCATTTGTATTTCTTATCTCGAACAGTTGACCTGTAATTCCTATTGTAATCTAAGGATAATGTTTGGATTTTACTTTCAAATATTTGAAATGGCCATGATGGAATCACATCCATTTATTTTATTATTATTTGAATTTGATCCAAAAGATAAATAATGAGTACACGTCCTGAAAACTTTTCTGAGAACTTTGGTAATCAAAAGACAAAAAAGGTTTTAAGAACTGAAGCAAACCACGAATTTTACTCTCTATTTTACTAAAGCAAGTGGCTGCTATTTAGCTCTAGTGAATACCAAATTGACCAACAACCTTTTTTCCAAATTGGAAGGAATGCAGTTCTCAGCTCTCACCGTGGTGATTATACAATCTGGATTTTCGAGCTGTAGGTAGTCAACTTATGTTAGTGGCATATGTAACATAGTGTTGGTCACTGGGAATGGATGAAGCCATGAGTGAAGGAACAGGAAATGACAGAAGTATGATTTGTAGAATTTCAAAACTCAAAATATCTAGTTTTATGGAGTGATATGAAATAAGCAAACCAACTGCTTATAAAAATGTAAAATTAAACGACATATTTAGAAATGTGATTGTGAAGTCATTGTCACAAAATATGACCCCACTAAAAATGAACATTCAACCTTATTTTCAGAAGTTTGCATACAAATCCCATGTAAATTATGGTAGTGCTCACAAACAAATAAACTAAAATCGTGCTTGATCCACCATGAAACTTACTACCTTGTCTATATTCTTGAAGAGCTCAAAAAATGCTGAAGCAATGCCACCTAGCTAGATATATACTTTTGTCATGTCCAGAGATTTCCTGCACCATGAACAAGAATGCCACCGCAATAATAGTCGCTCTTTTGCGACAAAAAAAATACTGACTTTGGACAGCAATGCCTGCACAACTACTATCTGTACGCCATGCATGCACCCATGTATGTCAGTAATACATATTATAAGCTTGTGAACATTGGTTTCAAAGTAGTGATACCAACAATACATCATCCAGTGATGGCCAGTCGCAGTACCTAGATGCCACTTCGGTGCCTGGTTTCAAAGTCGCAAGTTCATGGCAGGGAAAGCAATCATGTGTCTAGAGTAGAGACTTAAATAAAGACCCATGCCATGTAGATGGATCAGATAATTATGCCAATCCTGATTTTTCAGTGCAAATCCAGTTCTGAAATTTCCACTTGTTTAGTTGCTCCCAAAAAGGGCTATACAGTTAACCAAAATGAATTTTGCTCCTAACACCACAGTTTGTTTCCAACGATCAAGAGAGCGAGCTTCACCATAGTGAAGTGTGTTTGATTAAGTACCTGAGCCGGTGTTGTACATGCATATATGATATGTTCACCGCTCCTACCGGATGCCCGCCGCCGAACTCACCATCCGTTCTACACAAGCAGCAAAACCGATCAGATAAGCTATTTCGGTTGTTACTTGTATAGTCTGATGGAACGATCAGTTCCAGAATTACGCCATGGCGCCATCTTTTATATGCAATATACTGTGAACTGAATTTTCTGTCAGTGAAGTTGACAGAACAGAGTACTACAGGGTAGAGGGGTAGAGCATGCAAGTGGTGATTGTTGTGTGGTTTTTGCGTTAGTTATTTGTGCACCGGGCGTCTAGGTAGCGTTGGCTGGCCATCTGCAGCTCATAGGCGCACGAGCACAGCGGTGGCACGCCCAGCACCGCCTCCACTGCCCGCAAGGACGCCACCTAGCCGCCGCCGTATCTGGAGAAGAAGCAGCAAGCATGTAAGAGTTTGTCCGTGGACGCTCTATGGATCGACCTGATCGATCACTCGTTTTGTGCATGCACCACCACACATGGCTGAACCGAGCATCCTCCTGGCGGCGCCCAGTGAGACCGTCCTCGCAGCGGCCACGGCTCGATGGTTCGCCCCCGTGTGCACGGTACATGCCGCAGCCTGCAGTCAAAACAGAGCGCGTAGAAGGTGAAGGCAAGGGGAGCTGGTGTGCTGGGAGGGAGACTCCTGGAGCTAGGGAGCACGCCGACGCCATTGCTCAAGGTGCAAGTTTGTTTCAATCTTCAATCCTGCTCGCTGTTGATTCTGGTTACAGTAAATTTTAGCTAGATATGGTGTAACCTAAGTGTTATGCCTAGTCTTAATCTATCTATCTATCCAATCTTCTATTCGGCGAGGTGGCTGCGCCTGTGGCAGATGTGGCCGCTGCCATGGCCGGCGCAAGACCTGGTCGATCTCCCTCTTCTGTATTTGAGAAAAAAAAATCTCCCTCTTCTCTTCTGATGAGAAGGGGAAGAGATGGTGAGAGATGAAGTCGACGGCTTTGGGGAGAGGATACGTGAGGACGCCGGTAGTGAGGCGGCATGAGGAAGACAAGGTGGTTGGCAGCGGCGACGCGTGAGGGGAGGGCAAGGGAGGTGTAGTGGTGCATGTTGAGGAGTGGGTGTGCAGCGTGCCCAGTTCTCGAGGGAGGAAGGAGGTCGTCAAGGGAGTGATCCATGGGAGTTTTTTTTTCCTTCTGAGCGAGCCTAGTTGGGCTCTCTGCAGCGTCTAGGCCCAATGCACCACATGTCTTCAAATTGGCCACCAGTAGCAGCCCATAGGACAGACAGGGCCAGTTTGCAAATTTTAAAACATAAGTTTTTTAGCGCCCATGAAAAACAGAACACATATCTTTCCAAACATAATGAACTGTAGGTACCACCAAAAAAACCATAATGAACTATAGGTTGTTACAAGAACTCATGCCATCCCACAGCCGCCCTCCCACCCTGCCAACATTGTTGCAACTGCACTCGCAAGCATTACCATAGATGATCATTTGCATGATTTCGCGTAAAACAAAATAAGATCTACAAACGAATAGAAGCTACACATACCTTGGCATGCACACACATTGGAAGCCATACCAAGGTGATAAGTGTTAATAACTTGTACAACATATACAACAGTTAAGATAAGTAAAAGCAATTTGATGAGTCATGGTCTATCAAAGCAAGCTTTATTACTACTCTAATCTATCTTAACAGGTCACACATGATTACAATCCTTTTTGTGTGCAAGTCAAGCTTATCTAGTTTACACGTAACAACTTGTAGAACATTACACAATTGATGTTTGCTAATAACTTCTAGAAAGCTAAAACACTTGACATGTAAAAAGAATTTGATGAGTCATGACCTAGTAAATCAAGTTACATTACTAGTCTCATCTATCTTAACAGGTCACACAAGATTACAAACTAAGTTCTGCGCAAGCAATGCTTATCTAGTTTACACATAACAACTTGCAAAACATTACAAATTTAGTTTCAAAAAATTAGGCAATCTAGATTAGTGTTTGAGTTGTAAAGTGAATAAGATGAGTCATGTGTGTTATCACAACTTTTTGGTGGTGGAATGATAGTGCCACCAAACACAACATACCAAATTATGATTTTAGGAAGCATCCAAGCACTTTCCAGACAAGCAAATGCCAATTGTGAAGGAGATGATGCCATGGCAGCTATAAATAGGCCTGTAGCATGATGATCATCCTTCCTCATCCATCATTCTCATAAGTAGAGTGCATCATTCAAGCCAAGCAAGCAGTGGTCAATACAAATCCACCATGAAGACCTTTCTCATCCTTGCCCTCCTTGCTATCGTGGCGACCACCACCACAACTGCAGTTAGAGTTCCAGTGCCACAATTGCAGCCACAAAATCCATCTCAGCAACAACCACAAGAGCAAGTTCCATTGGTGCAACAACAACAATTTCTAGGGCAGCAACAACAACAATTTCCAGGGCAACAACAACCATTTCCACCACAATAGCCATATCCGCAGCCGCAACCATTTCTGCCACAACTACCATATCCGCAGCCGCAACCATTTCCACCACAACAATCATATCCACAACCACAACCACAATATCCGCAACCACAACAACCAATTTCGCAGCAACAAGCACTACAACAACAACAACAACAACAACAACAACAACAAAAACAAATCCTTCAACAAATTCTGCAACAACAACTGATTCCATGCAGGGATGTCGTCTTGCAACAACCCAATATAGCACATGCAAGCTCACAAGTATCGCAACAAAGTTACCAACTGTTGCAACAATTATGTTGTCAGCAACTGTGGCAGACCCCCGAGCAGTCACGGTGCCAAGCCATCCACAATGTCATTCATGCTATTATTTTGCATCATCAACAACAACAACAACAACAACAACAACAACAACAACAACAACAACAACAACAACAACAACAACCGTCGAGCCAGGTCTCCTACCAGCAGCCTCAGCAACAATATCCATCAGGCCAGGGCTTCTTCCAGCCATCTCAGCAAAACCCACAGGCCCAGGGCTTTGTCCAACCTCAGCAACTGCCGCAGTTCGAGGAAATAAGGAACCTAGCGCTGCAGACGCTACCAGCAATGTGCAATGTCTACATCCCTCCATATTGCTCGACCACCATTGCGCCATTTGGCATCATGAGTACTAACTGAGAAGAGAAGAACTCTATTACTAGATATATGAAACACCGTTTTCTTAAAACATGGTTTGGTCGTTGTAGCGGTGAAAAATAAAGTGACATGCACTATCATGTAAGAACCCGAACTAGACTATTTCAAACTTGGAAATAAAAGACAAACACAGGTCTTGTCTGCATATGATTGTTTGTTTGAGTTCCATTCATGTGCCCGTTCACAAGTTCACCCCTAATTATATATATTAAGCATTAGTTAGATGTTTATGTGCATTAATCTAAAGATAACAAAATGAATCTGAAACTTGAATTTAATTAAAGTATTTTCTTGGACTTTCAAATTGAGCATTGATAGTGAGGACTATCCACATCCTTGGCTTGCCCTTGATCAATTATTTCCAAAGAAGCATTCAATTCATCAGTCACTTACATTGATTTTTGTGGCTTGTACTTCTCCTCAACATGAGTATCTTCATTGCAGCTACTCCAAATCTGCCACATAACTGAAGCATTAATAGTGCTCTTCCTTGCATCAAGGAAATATGGATTGAAGATATCTCTTGACCATGTTTTCGGGTGCAACCTTGGGAGTTTTATGTCAAAATATTCTCAAGAAGAATCCAAGAATAAACTTGCATGCTCACGTGTGACAAGGGCATATGAAGTAACATTTCCTCACCAAGGCCACACATAGGGCACACACATAACCCCATCACATGCCTTTTTAGTTATGCATATGAAGGTAGGATGTTTTTAATTACTCTGCACCAAAATACTCTTAACTTGGATTGTACCCTAAGCTTTCGTTGCCTTTTACATTTTTCTTCCCCATTAGATGAACTAGATAGTCCAGCTACCACACAATACCTTGTGTTCATCTCGGCTCTGTACAACAATTGAACAGAAGAAATGTCATTTCTTTACCATATCCATGACCAAATGTTCTCTGCTACTCCCTCCGTCCCAAAATACTGCCATCCATGTCGACAACAATGAGTCATATAGGACCGCTATGCCTCTGTTGAAGGAGGTGGTGGAGCGATCCGGAGATTATTCTGCCATCCATGTTGAGTAAAACCTCACTGGCCACTTGCTCCAACCGCATACACACCGCCATAAACAACGGTTGGTACTCAGTTCGGTGTAGCATACACCATGTAGGAAGCGAGTGCTTACTCCTAGTTACTGAATTAT